TGATCCAAAGATGATATGTTATTTTCCACTGTAAACTCTTATCTGTCTTCTGCTCACCCATTCATATATTCTAATTTAATTGGAATGACAACTGTTCAATATCCAATATATGTATGCATACGTACATATATCGCTGAAGTGTTTTTTATATTTAATAACAATATGACTTTCAACCGAAAGACATGTAGGTATTCTATGAGGGATATGATTGGATGTTCTTTTATTACTTTATAGGACCATATTGGCCAGAACAGTGCTGAAAACATCCATAAGAATGAAATAACACAAAAAAGGCAATAGAGGATATAACAATCTCTGGAAGTCGAGCCTATTTGCCATTAAAACGAAAAAGCGTCCAATCAAAGTAAACTAGAATAACATGATTGATCGTTGTCTAAATTAAACATTTCAAAAAAAAATATACACAACTTCTCATATCCGAACATATTCACTTTTTTTATTCAGGTCGGAGGAGGAAAGTTTGGGAAACCAGGACTTGCACTGGGCTATAGTGCCATAAATAATGGCGGTGAAGATCTTTTTCTGTGTGCCTATTGCTAACGAATTCATTTACTCCTTCGTTCTTCATTCATTCTTTGACTTTTAATTAATTGCCAAATTTGCTTCTGTAACATGTAGAAGTCATTTTGCATTCTTTTAGAGAAGATTTCCCAGTGTTTGTTCTTAATTTATCTGACTGGTTATTTAGTGTCTTTATTCACTTCACTATATATTATTATGTAATCTTCATACATTCTTTGTCTAGCTCCCCTTTTTTTTTGGTTTCTTGTAGTACGCAGACACCAATCTTGTGGTCTTTTAACTCTATTATAATCTATTGTTCTTTGTTATTGAATACTATTTGTTATTGTCTCTGCCTCCAATTACCGTATTCGTAAAAGGTGCGATCGAAGTTCTTAAAAACTGCCTTTCTTCATCTTGAAGCTCATTGTCGTTTTCAAATTTTTTACAAATGAAGTTCAACGGACAAGAAGTTCCCAATTGTGTTTCTGAAGCCTTCGGTGTGCGGTCTTGCATTGTCATGCAACAACCTGATTTCTACAGTTGGACAACAAATATCGCTGTTGATTATTATTTGCAAACTTGGAGTTTGTTTCGACCAGAACTTACATTGTGGGGCTATCACTGCCCACATTTTACTGAACATTAATGTAAAATTGAAAGATTTAATGAAAACCTTCATTAAAAACTTTTTAAAACTAATAAATGGCGTTCTATACTTAATATGTAAATTTTATCATATTATATGATATTTCTATACTTACCACATACTTTATTTGGGACATCCAAACGAAGCAAAAAGAAATCGACGATTTATTCAGCATTCGTTCATTTGTGTCATTTAATTAAAAACTATCGATAATTATCTAATGCTTTTTGCAATAACAATAATTTTTGGCCCTTGCATCTTCTATACAACCACTGTGTGGTTTATATTCATCCAATCTGCTGACGTATAATACCTTAAAGGTTTGTCTACTACTAGTATTATCATCAATAACATTACTTTTTGTTAGAGTAACTGTTGATTCGAAAATAGCTTTAGGTTTTGTTTCAAACATCAACAATATGTGCGTGCTTGTGGTGTTATCATTTGTATTAATAGAATCGGCAGATAAACTAGCACTCATAATTTTTGCTAATGTATAACTTGCGCATTTATTTGTGCCGGGAACTAATTCTTGTATTTTGGATTGAATCCATTGTAGGGTAATGTTAGCAGATTGACCAACTAATTTGTTGTCTGTTTTTATTGGCACATAACCATTACAAGTGCACCAATGTGTGCTTATTCCAGTTTCTTCGCAAGATCGAGGCTCTGGAATTTCTTTAAAAAGTGATTGGCACATAGGGCAACTGTCGCTTTGTATAGGAGCATAAGTAAAATTAGAAAGCACCAATATATCTTGTATTGTCATATACATATCGTATGGACTAGTTAAACGCTTCGCGTTATTTCGAAGATTATTGTATTCTTTTGGACGTGTTTGTCTCAACCAAGGTGGTACCCAGAAGTATAAATAAGGCAATCTCTCTTCTATCCAACCGCTTGTAGTTTGTCGAACTTTACCGAATCGCATTCCGTGATCGCTGACAAAAATAATCATCACCTCGTTTAAAATTCCATCGTTTTTGAGGTCTTTGAAGAAAGACGCAACTTTTTTATCAAGGCGAGTGGGTGAATTAACGCTGTTATGACTAAAACTATTCATCCAAAATAAACCGAACATCGGATGCCCATAAAAAGTTTTTGAAAAATCTTTTGCTAGATTTAAAATTCGCTCTCCGCTTTGTTCCGGACCAGTACAATAATGCATATCATCAACGATTTTTGTCGTTAATTTCGCAGCGCCGTGCATATAAGTTTTGAAATAAAAATCGGTCGGGTTCTTGACAAACCCTTTTTTCTTATAATTAAACGTAGATATCGCATCCTCATCTTCCCCATACGCCGTTACGTATCCGAGATTTTTAAAATCTTTCCAAATAAAAGGACACGTTTCCAATTTACCACGTATCGTGGGATCACATTGTTTATACGCATAATCAGGACATTTCCCCGTCAACATCGCCATTAGATTCGGAAATGTATTCTCACCCATTTTGTTATAACCTATATACTCGATCCAATCATTTTCATCTAGAAACTTCTTCGTTGTAGGCATCGTTCTATAAAAGTTTAAGCGGGAAATACTATCGATGCCGATTATTAACAAACTGATCGGTTTTGTGTTATTTGCTGTAAACGATTCTTTAGTTTTTTGCATGTTCACGTATTGTTTGTTACTAATTGTTATTGCTACGTGGACGTTACTGTACACTATTGAGCGCGAATATTTCGCATCACGACATGTTACCATTACAGTCTTATTGTTTATCACCACTTCTTCATCAAAATCTATACAGTTCTTCGATATGCTAAAACAAAAATAAGAATGATACAAATTTATATAATCGAGAGGTATAGAATTGAAATCAATTATTTTCATAAAGTTGTTAATGAAACTTTTTTTTAAATTATTTAACATGTCAAGAATTCAAATTTCGTCTATATAACAACTGGTTCCGGTTTACAACGTCCTTAGAAGACATCTTATCAAAAAATGTATTCTTCCCTCTTTATTTCCCAGTTGTGGCAATCAAAGTTAAGAAAACAGTAAGAAATCTAAGAGATGCTGGTTACACAATACTAAGTAGATGGAACATATTAAAAAGAACGGTCAAAACACATTTGTCTGTCTTCACATTGACTTTCAGCAATGAAGGCCATCTAACAAGTTCACGAAATTGAAACCATCTTGATATCGAAACGGTAAGAAAATTTAAATTAGTGTCCCAATGCAGAAGGTGTTAATTCTTTGGGCGCACACAACATTTCTGCAAGAAATAACCTTGGTGTGTTAAGTGCNACTGTATATCCAGGGCTTATTATCATCTGAGGATGTTGTTTCCTCATCGACACTACCTTGGTATTCATCTGAAAAAGGTGTTGTGCGAAGCCTCTGTGTTGTCTCAATTCACTTATTGTGCTGAGGTCTACCATCCGTGCATTGACGTTAGCGATGTAACACGTATTCAACGAGTGCAAAATTCGTGTCTTCGGTATATATATGGAATTAGAAAATATAACAGAATATCTTATAAACTGAAGGATGCGGGATGGCTAAATATGTATCATCGTAGGAAAGTGCAGTGTTTGTGCCTATACCATAAAATTATAAACTACAAGGAACCACAGTATCTCTACCAACTGATAACTTTCCGAAATGATGTCCACCGAATAAATACGCGATTTCGCGGAAGACTGTCGCCACCCTTCTATCGTTTGTCTTTGTTTCAGAGATCATACTTATTTCAAATAACTTCGAAATATAATGAGGTGGACGATAATTGCAAGGGGTTCTCACTACGAAGGTTTAAATTTACACAGAAATATTCTTGTTTTCTTGAACAATGTCTACATGGGGGCAAACGCTGATCTGACATGTTTTGCAATCTTGTTGTTGTATCTAGCTGTTGCTTTGTAATTTTTGGCCGAGTCATGTTTTTCTTTTTTTGTTTCTTAGGTTAGTTAGAGCAGCTGTACTAACTAGTACAAGCTGGAACTCGCCTATTTTCTTTTGTATGTTTTTTTTTTGTACAATTAAGCTTATTTTCTAATAAAGGCATTTATTATTATTATTTATGTAAGATATTGATTCTTGAGTCGCCAACAGGAAATCTTCATGTATGTCCTAGGACAATCTGCTACAATATGTTTCACAGTTTAATTTTCACCGCATTCGCAGAAGGGTCAATGTCTTGCCCCATTTATGCAGAAACTAGGCGCATCTATCAAGCTGGGTCCGATGCCTCAATTTCTTCAGGTGTGAAAAGGTCCATGAGTTTTCGTTTTATTGCGGTTTTATGTTTTTTGGTGTACTAGACGTTACATCTTACATCTATGTGGGAGTCAACAATATTTGGAGAGATGTTTGATTTTCATCTTTAGGGGCTTTTTCGGCTTGAGTTCTGGACGTTCCGGTTTTCTACCGTTTTCAACAAATTCTGTTGCTTTGTAGCGTTACATGTGATCCTAATTGGCCTCCTCGTGGTGCACCCTGGGTAACCTCACATGAGCTAGCAAATGCTGGCGATCAAACAAACCAGGAAGCTTCTCCTGACCACACAAGAAACAGACAAAAAATGGATGTGTGCGAATGTCAGAAATCACGACACAATCACATCTAAAACTAAAACGTTATCAAATGTACCACACCAGCCAGCCCTAAAATTGTGTGCGAGGAGAAAAGCCAGAATAGTCAATCATGAAAAAAAAAGATGCCTAAGCGAGTAACCTTAGTCAAATTAGAACTAAGCATTATACGCTAACCCTAGTAGCCGTTTACTGCCCGTCAAAACATAATTTTAAAAAGAAGCAATACAAATCTCTTCTTCAGTAAGTAGGAGATAGGTTTATTTTTGGAAGAGACTTGGCACACTCACTGGGGATCAAGAATTACAACAATCAATGGTAGAGAATTATACGAAAGCAATTAACCTACAAATTAACCTACAAAAACAATGCGAGTATCACTCAACTAGAAAACTCACATACTGGCCGACTGACAATAAATAAAATTCTCGATCTACTAAATTTGTTTATTAGTAAACGTATCTCTTCAAATCTTGTGCACGTAGAAGACGGGCTAGATCTGGCAGGCGAATATTTAGGCCAATTATAATATAGTTTATTAGTTGATTTTATTAATCATCAATACCTGTCTCCTCTGATATCATCACTCATTGAATCACTGTTACTGTGTTCTAAAGTTTTATGTACGACATAAAATTTGCAAACAAAACAGCCGCCATTCACCGGTAGGAACTTTATTCGGGTGAGATCCAATAAGATTGCAATTCAAAGCAGGTTAGCCACAAAATAAACCAACACATCTCAACTCAACTCAATCTGTTATAATATCTGTTTGACATGTGATGTACTGTGCAACGCAGTTACACAGTACAATGTTCAGCTATTTCTGACTTGCCGTTGCAAAGTCGACAAGTTTGATCTTCAGCTTGTCCAATACGGAAGAGGTGGTATTTTATTGTCGCATGGCCGGTCAGGAAACCTGAGAGCGACCTTAGATTCCCTTTGCTGAGGCATACAACCAGGTTTCGTTTTGCGACGGAGTTGTCATATTCTTCGCTTGTCTGTGTCCTGGAAGTTCTTTCAAACGTCAGGCTACCTTTGAGGCCTCCTAATTGTTGATTACTTGTTTGAATGAATATCCAATGAAGTGCATTTTCACTGCCTCTTTGGACAGCTTGTTCGCTTTCTCATTGCCCTAAATGTCTCTATGACCTAGAACCCACCATAGAGTAATATCATTGCCCCTAACGAGTCCTCTCAGGTTGCTGCTACACTCTCTGATCACTGCGGAGTCACACGTGTAGGCCCAAATTGCCTTTAGGGCTGCCCGACTGTCTGTGAAAATGTTTATAGATTCACCTTTCTGTCTCTTTTGTAGGTTGGGTAAGTTAGTTTATGGCAAGAACTTCTGCTTGAAAAATGGTTATGCCCGAGCTGAGTGTTGTGTACCCGGTCAATCAAACCCACATTCGAACTCTATGTATTTATATTTATTTTAATAACATACAGTTTTACAAGTCACTCCTCTGACACACGCTTCATACACTGTAGAGAGCGTTCGCGTCTGTTTAAATAGGTACATAACACTGAGGGGCAATATAATGCGGCTATTTGGTCCACTAATGCCCATGCTTACTCCGGATCCAACTATTTTTGAAACATCCGTGTACCAGGCAAGGGCTCTTCTTTTTAGTTGAGGCCCACCTTTCGTCTAATCATCCCTGCTTCTAAATATAACCTTATACGACTGGTCGAAATTGTATTCTGTCGGTATAAGGTCCGTTTTAATTTCAATCAAGTGATGTAGACATGGGTCCTTGAGAAAATCAACCGAGGTAATTCCAATAGCAAACCAATTTAATGAACTTTTTGTAGTCACTGCAATTCAATGATGACATTTATAAATTACTTAAAAGCGTAATTAAAGATGGAATTTTAACACATGCGCTAAATAACGGCTCAGTAAACCTGAATCTTAATTCGGAAGTAAAATGCAGAGAAGCATCAAATATGCGTACTGAAAAGAATTTGACCTGCTCAACTTATGAAAGTAAGCAAACCAGAAATCTGAAAGTGGTCGTTAAAAAGATGCATAAAAGCTGTGATGTTAATGATATCAAAGATGATCTATTGGAGCGCAAGTATAACATTTGTAAAGTAACCCATATGTTAAAATACAAAACAAAAGAACCTTTTCCTTTATACATCTTGGATTTTGGACTGTCAGAGGATGTAAAAAGAATCCATGAAATAACAAACATATTAGGAATGCGTGTCAAAATCGAAGAGTACAGAAACCCAAAACAAATGCCCCACTGCAAAAGATGTCAAGGTTAGAGCCATAATAAAGCTTACTGTCACAAAAATCGGAGATGTGTTAAATGTGCACACTGGACCACCAAATCACTAAAGCCAAAGAAATCCCGGCTAAATGTTTCAACTGTGGAGAAAATCATCCAGTAAACTACCGAGGATGCATTGTGACTAAGGAACTACAAGCCATCAGGAATAAGAAAACAGTAAATTCAAATAAAATAAATCCAGGCTCGTATACCGAAAAAGCGAGTGGTGAAACTGTAGAGAAAACTGTAAATACATTAATCGTGCAATTATTATAAAAAGGAATGTTGACCACTATTTGAACAATACAATGAACAACAATTAGTACTGAACAACACCAAACTACAGTGGTAAAAGTTCAAACTGCTAATGGCTTAATATCTGTAGGAGCAACGTACTTACATACCACCGAGACATAATCTCAAAAGCGAAGATTATCAGAAAATTCTACTACATCTTGGCACCAAATTTATACTTGGAGGAGACTTTAATGCAAAACATATGTCTTGGAGTTCTCGCTTGACAAATACAAAAGGAAGAGAACTGAACCATGCAATAGAGACCCTAAATTGTGAGGTGCTCTCCACTGGGAAGCCAACTTACTGGTCAACAGATAGAAGTAAAATTCCGGACCTGCTTGATTTTTTTATTACGAAATATATATCGCTTAACTTCGTAAACATAGAAGAAGAGTTAGGGTCGGACTCAGATTACTCATCAGTAATTATTACTCTAAATAACAAAGTATGTAATAAAGAACCCTTTTTATCACTAACTAATAAACTCACTAATTGGAATCTATTTTAACAAACATTAGATAATAAAATTCATCTTAATGCTCTTATGAAAACAAACGAAGACATTGACAATGAAGTAGAAAAGTTCTTAAAAGACATACAAAACGCAGCTGGGCCTCAACACCAATTTTAACACCAAAACCTAAATCTAATATTTATCCTAAATTCATTAT